AGATACAATTTGCCTTATTTAAGGGATTAGGGTAGTTAGAATTTGACTAAGCAGCCGAACTATAAGTAGTTTGGAAAAACTCGGCAAATAAATCAGCAATTTCAGAATCCGTCGATGCCTCCATTGAGTTAAAACGTACCGATGAAGGCAATGCTGACGACTTACGCTTGGCATTGACAAAGTTATAAAACTGCTTCGGATCATTTGAAAATTCAAATTTACATCGACTTAAATACATAGAATAGCAATGACTATTAAGAACATTAAAATCCGATCGAGCCACCACATATTTCGAAAAATCAGATGGCTTACCCGATTTCTTATACTTTTTATAAGTGTTTGTCTTAAGGTTTTTAAGTCTTTGAAGCGCATTGGTAAACCAAGGTGGCCTGTTTGTCTTTGACGGAAATCTATCAGGAACGCATTCATTAAAAAAGGTATTTAACACTATATAGAAGTGTTCAGTGGCGCTTTCAATATCCATACAATTGTACAATTCTGTCCAATTATATTGAGAAATCATGTCGTTAAGTTTTTTAAAGTTACATTTTCGGAAACATCTCACTTTAGTTTGAGAAACTAAAGGAGAGAGGGTATCAACGCATGGGAGGCAGATTGTCAATTCCATTGTTGGATGATATCGGTCTTCAGGTACAACAAGAGCGTCAATTCTAGATACCGTGACTTCAGACGGGTCTGAAACAAACACAAGATCTAGTTGTCTATTTAATGAATTCCGTATAAAGCTTACTTGCTGTAACGATAATTCTAGAAGACCATCAACAAAATCATGGGCGGATAGAGGTATAGCGACTAGTGAGTCAGTAGGAGGAGACCAAGAAATACCAGGGATATTAAAGTCACCCAAAACAATCAAAAGGTCACTGTTAGAAAGAAGGGATAGAACAGATTTTATCGCAGACAGGTGGTGCTCATAAATTATTAAATCAGAGCCAGGTGGAATATAGGAGCATGTAACAAATATTGAGAATGATTGCAAGGAAACTTTCACACTAACAAATTCAATTTCATTAGGAGTATCAGAGTGAATTCTCTCGGAAGTTAGGCTAGTGCTAACGGCAATCAGCACACCGCCTCCCCTACGTGAGGAGCGATCGGTCCTATAGGCATTAAAATTGTTTGACAGAACTTCATTGTCAGATATCTCTGGTTTCAGCCAGGTTTCCGTAAAAGCCAAAATATCAGCAGTAAATGCAGAGGAGTCAGCATAAAGCTTGGGTAGCTTCATATTTAGTCCCCTAACATTTTGATAAGCCAAAAATAAACTTTTTAGTTTTTTGGCGCCGTGGAAGGTCTGTTATTTGTTCTCGGTTTTTTGGGAACAAATTCTTTTATTACTATAGTTACATATTTAAGATTTGTGCTCCTTGTTGGCTTTTTTTTAATAGAAATGGTTTGCGTATAAATATAAATGCATCGAGATTTACAAAGTTATTCACTGGCCAAACATAATATGGCGTTGTTTGGTCGGATTGGTATAAGCATACATGAGTATATCGTTTGAGATGAGTTTGTAAAAGAGGGAGATGTAAATATGTATGGGTATTTTACAACATAGTACATAGAGTATAGTCGGTTGAATATAATAAAAACTATATTGGAGACTAAGATATTTAAGAAACTAAAAGTCCAGTAATCATCATTGTCCTTTTGGCTTTCGAGAAACATTCAAAATTAATATTGCACGGTATAATTTGTTAAGTAACGAAAGACCAAAAAAATCAAAAAATTTAAGACTGTCACATCATTTTTTCGAGTTGATGTATTTATATTTATATAAGCACGTTTGCTATTTTGTCCAAGTTTCATACGGAGTGGCACAGAAATTTCTTTTGTTGAAACTAGTATTGATGTTTAATGTACCCCCTATAATTATCACTCTTGGCCATTATAACTCTTGACGGCTTATGAGTGTTATACAAAACAAAGGATTCTGATAGTATGCAACGTTCAGGTGCAATCGTAAGGCCCGAAAAATTCGGGCAGTACCGGATCTCACGCAGACCAACGCGACTTCTGCAGTTCGATTTGGCCTTCAAGAGTCTTGGCCAAATAGATGACCAACAGCTGGATAAGCGCGATGCCCAGAGCATTGCCGGCAATCACGTACAGATTGTGCTCGGCCCAAATCCTAATGACCTCGATACAGCCCCTAGACCAGATCCGTTTCCTGGTCTCCGGAACCTGAGTCTCTTGGACACCGTAGCCGCACATGATGTTCACCAGTCCTGAGGATATATCGGTTGCATTAATGCAGCAACTGTAGGGCACTCCACACTTTTCCACCGACGGCGAGCTGCAGTTGAAGTACTCATTTTTGCTCCAATATTGGTAGCCCGAATTACTGAGACCACAGCACTTGAATTCCTGTTGAGCAAAGTCAATGAATTTCTGCAAGTCCGGATCGTCGCGATACGAGGTGATGATCTTGTCCGTGAACTGTTTCTCCAGAAAGGTGTTCATGTACTGCGGGCAAACGAAGCAAAGGATGGCGATGGCCATCTCCAAGAGGAAGAAGAGGATCAGGAACACGGAGTACGTCTTCAGCAAGGAGGTGTTCTCCCGCAAAGCGCTTAAATAACCGAAGAAACTCACCAGAAAGATGACCATCCCGGCTAGAATCATAACCAGGGAGATGTTCAGGATCACATCGTAGACGTTTTCTAGTCGCACCGACCCGTTGGCCTCCTCCCATTTATCCATAAAAGCATAGATCCCGATTCCCAGGAGCAAGTCGCCAAATAACCAGAACATAAAATTCAGCATAAAGATCATGTACTTGACGCACTGGCTCACATATGGGAAATGATGCGAATGCATCACCTCGTGCACCTCGATCCCACTATTTACGGAAGGGATTCAAATTAGAATTAGCGCTCGGGCTTCGCTTGATGTCGCCGGCATCTCCTTGACGAGAGTTAAAATTTGACCTATGGCCTTGACCTGATTGGTTTGACTCTTGTGTCTGGGGGAACCTCAGTTGGTTAGGTGGCCTATAGTTCTGATAGTTTTGGTTGAAGGTCTGTCTTAACAAAGGCGCCCTTGACGTAGGGCTCCTCGGCTTCCTAATAAAGGCATTAAGAGCCTTGTCCCTTTGTCCGGCAAGGAAAGCATTGGTTATCTCCGTTGAGTAATTCACGCTTTTTATTTTGTTCATTATTAGTGAGACGTGGTTATTATTCCTAAGGTAAAAGTCTTCTAGCTTTTGGTTTACCTGGGTCATTTGAGTCAGCTCGTACTCTAGCGTACCGACATCTCGTTTATCGGCGAAGTGTAATGCCAATACCCGTTTGATTTCTGTCCAGTCGCCATCCCGTACATTGTATGCATTGGGCGCCATGTCGGCGTTGCCCCTTTTGTCTAATCTGGATAAGGACTGACCTATATAGGGGTTTAGGGTAGTTAGAATTAGACCAAGAATCAGAACTATAAGTAGATTGGAAGAATTCAGTAAATAAAGCTGCAATTTCGAGATCCGTAGAAGCCTCAATAGAGTTTAATCGTACCGATGATGGCAATGCTGAAGACTTTCGCTTAGCATTAACAAAGTTATAAAACTGATTCGATTCAGTTTGAAAATTCATATTTACATCGAAAGTCGACTGTCCCAACATGCACACCTTTTTCCTATAGTGTTCCAAAAAAGTAAAAATGATATAATTATCTATTACAAAAGATGTCATTTCAATCAGGTTCGTGGTGGTCGATTTTCTCTTAACAAAACCATGTTTACACGTTGATATCAAAGAGGAGCACAAATGTTGCAAATGAGAGGTAATAATGCGTTCAAAGGTTTTAGGGATTGCAGACAATTTGGCAATTCCTTTATAGTTCTGGATATCCACCTTCGCACCCTTTTAGATCACAGCAAGACTGTGATCATGCTGCTGAAAGGAAAACGTTTACCTCAACTTCAGAGCCACAGGTTCCCATGATGCTCATTAGTTGCTCTCATTTCGCTCAAGTTCGGCTCGGCTATTTCCTTTACCGAACAGCAAGCAGGTTCCAAATGAATGGTTCGCTGATAGACCCTTGCGGGCAGCCCCGTGTAACTGACACTGTAGCTGCTTCGTATTTGCCGACAATACTTGCGCTTCGACCGGAGAAATAACTTCTCCATAAGCCAATCTCCCGACAGCCAACCTTAGTGAGTCGATTGAGGACCGCGCTCCACTCCACATTGTCGAAAGCACCTTTAAAGTCCACAAAGATTCCAAGTACGCGCATCGTACGGCTGTTCGGCACTGTGTTTTTTGCGTGCATCAAGGCGTCCTCTACGCAGCATCCAGGCTGAAAACCGAATGGCCATCTTCAACCATCCAGCAGTACTTCCTTCAACCTTTCCAAACACTGGTAACAGACATATGCCACGATAGAAGGCAGGATTACTCCTGTCCTTATCAGGCCCTTTTAGCAGTGGTATCACTCTTGGATGTTTCTACTCAGTGGGGAAGTATTCCTCTGAAAGACACTGAGAATACAGCGATGTCAGGTGCTGAGGGATGGCACGCCACACCTCCTTAACGATACCGCCCGTGATGCCATCAATGCCCGGAGATCGCCGGCTTTTCAGCCTCGCGACATAGGTCGCCACTTCGAAGGTTTCGAGGTTTTGTAGTGCACCAGGGGGTATGTCTGCTCGTGTAGTCAACTCCGCAACAGTGAAAAAGCTGCAGAGGAGCACATTAGCGCAATGGTGCCACGTTACGAGAAGCGCGTCGTTTGAACGAAGACATCCAAGCTCGGTTGTCTTTTTTCATCCTCGGCATATCCGATAGACTTGTCCCCACGGATCTTCCTTGAGGCGTCCTACGAAGTCCCGCCAGTTGTTCTTGTTTGTCGTCAGAATAAGCGTTCATACGGACAGAAGGACATACGGACATGGCTATATCGACTCGGCTAGTGATCTTGATCAAGAATATATATACTTTATGGGGTCGGAAACGCTTCCTTCTGCCTGTTACATACTTTCCGACGAATCTAGTATACCCTTCTAGCCCAAGAATCTGCATCCTTGGTCTCAACATTTAAGCTTTTATAGTATCCGAGATCTGAGCGCTTATACGGACAGACAGACAGAAATATAACTTCGAAAGTTGTCAATATCTTGACCGGTTTTATGTCATTGTTTTTAATTCATTAAAGGCTTGCATAAAATGGTCGTCCATTAACAGTTGCTGTTATTTAACTTTGTCAAAAGGACTCGGATTTTAATGTGGCCTACCCTACAAGATTTGTAGATTAATTATGCTGTGGTCTGCATTGAAATATTTCATTTTAAAGGTAGTCCGTCTTTTGACCGTTCGTACGTAAATATTTTTAATGTTTTTAAAGTTGGCAGAAAATGGGCCACCCCTTACACTTTCGAAATCTGTACTAGTACAACTTGTTTAAAAGGACTTGGACTCCGAAAAGGTAATATTAAAGAGCTTTTGTAAAAGTAAGAAAAAGGGATTTTGTTTTGAATATATCCACATGCATGCCAAAAATCATTCAAATCGGACCAGCCATTAAAAAGTTATAAGCAAAAAAGGAATCGCGCAGGGCGTGATGAACAATGTCGGGAACAGTCTCTTTGCTGCTTGCATATCTCCATCTCCCTCGCACACTGAGTAAGAGGTAACTAATAGTCAAGGAAAATGTCTATAGCGTTCTCCATTATTTACTAATATATTCAGCATACTGTTTTAAAAATAATATACTTTATTTATATATCTATTCCATTCGGTTTATTTATTGCAGATCATCAAGCGGACCTTACACCATCGGAGTCCTTCTGGCAGCAACATGTGGCCACTTCTAGTAGTTCAGCTCCATTTGATTCACCATTCTATTCGGCAGCACATGGTCTTGTGCAGACTCACCCTTCTATAAACCACCCAAGCCCCGTTCCTCTTAATGGTAATAGCATTGGTAATAGCTTACCCGCCGCAAGCGTAATTGGTAGTAAGCCTTCCTTGACAGCTGGAAGCGGGTATCTTAATTCACGCGGAAGTCTACCGACCTCTGCTCGATATCCAAGCAACAAGATTACAGGCACCGTGGTCGAACCCAATCCGAAGTCACCATTCCGTCACTTAGATTTCTCTACTAGTGCAACTGCCGAGCTGCGACGCAATCCTGCTTTATCTGCTCCTGATGAATGTGCCCGTGCTTGCCGAGAAGGCGAACCTCCAAGAATTTGCTATTACCATTTTACATTAGAGTACTACACAGTACTTGGCGCGTAAGTGTTTAATCATCTGATTTTTACGAACACCAAGAAAATATATACTTTATAGGGTTGGAAACTCTTCCTTCTACCTGTTACATACTTTCCGACGAATCTTTTATACTTTTACTCTACGAGATAGCAAGTTAGAATATAAATTTGTCATCAAGATTTTTTTTCGCAGACTAAGTAACATAGCAGCCGATATTTATGTTATCGTCCTCTTGCGATTTATAACACTGTAAGATCTACCCCTCTCCCTTTCTTTGACATTTAGCTGCACTGTCTAGAAACGCAAATAAACACCCAATGAGAAAGAGCTCCGATTTCCCACTTTTGTAAGGTAAGCAGCAGTGTTGAACACCGTCTGCCTTTAGAATATCAAGCAAGTTATTGTATGGCTGTGACGTTATTGACGATGTTTCGCCTATTATTCATAGTTGGTTAATAACTTTTAAAATAGTTATTCGATTTAGATATTTTTTTTAGTGTTGCTAAATGAAGACCGAGTATACCGCTCAATAATGCGTTTTTTACCATGCCACTACTGAGTTTTTATATTGATTTATAAGCATTATAGTGGGACAGTACAAGAGTAAGAACGCTTAATTCCACCTTTCTTTTAGAGTCAAAATCTCAGCATTCATACGAGCAGATGGACTTGGCTAGATCATCTCGGATAGCAATCCTAATCACTTTATTATCTACCTCTTATATAATTTCTAAGCAACAGTTTGAAGATATAGGAGTGGGAAGTTTTAGCTCTTTTAGCATGACGCAATATATCAACAGCGTACGCGTCTGGATACGATTCGGCAGAGTGTTCAGCGAGCTGTTGATACTGTGAGTGTTCGTCTGACACAAAAATGCCACTTAATATGTGTTCGATGTCAGCGAAAAACACATGATGATGCTGACGGAAGGGAACGCATGAAGGATTACCATGATTTGTAAGCAGCCCTCTGATTTTTTTCCAATAATTTTATAGAATATCCTTTTAGTTTTTTCATACATAATATTTAACTTTTTGTAAGTTTATGTGCTTTTGTACTTGGACTTCATTAACGCAGCTGGCCAGCCGCCTTGCTGGTCCTTATCATGTCGGTCGCTGATCAAGCCATTGAGGATACTCTATATGGTGATGACGCGAATGTGGATAACTGCGATCCACTTCGATAATCTTTTTATTCATTTATAATTGGGAATTCAAATGTCAATGTTAGCAAGAAGTTTTCAATGTCGCGAAGAGGTCGTGGTGGTGACCACCGTCAGGTTAAAGGAGGCTCGGTCACAGAAATTTAATTTTAAAAGAAATTTACACTTTTTTGTTGATCTTTTTCACTCATCGCAAATATATACGTTTTTACCGCTTAGGCGTATACAGTAACTAATAATAAAAGAGAATTTCGTTCTTTCTTTATAATTGTCAAAAGCATGGCGCACTTGTTGTCCAAGAAGACCCATTTCATCCAACATTGGAATTAAGATATCTCCTTTACTTTCTCCAACTAAAAGTAAGTGCTTTTGTTAAAGTGACTATAATAAACTGAACTACATGATTTTCCAATATAATTGGATAAATTTACACAATTTCATGCTTATTGAAAGAGTCACTGCTTATTGAAAGAGCCACTAAAATATTTTAGAGCGCTGTTAATGCTAAGCGAAAGTCTTCAGCATTGCCCTTATCGGTATGGTTAAGCTCTATTGAGAAATCTACGGATTGCGGGTTTATTTGCTGAGTTCTTCCAAACTACTTATAGCTCGGCCTTAGTAGGGCCTTTGACTCTGTAAACCACTCTCTTATTTCATTCAAATTAAAACAGCTCGGCTTAACGAATAATCTGTTAACTTATCTTCAAGTTATTTGAATCGTAGATCTCAGAGGGATATATTTAAAAACTCTATTTCCATGATTATCTACGTGACATCTGGATTGCCTCAGGGTAGTCTTGTAGGCTCCCTCCTGCTTACTCTGTTCATTAATGATCTTCCCTCTATCGTAACTCACTCTCGTGTACTAATGTATGCTGATTATGTTAGGCTTTGTTTATCTTGCAATAATATAGGGTCTGGATTCTGCTTGCAGTGAGATCTAAATGATTCCAGCAATGGTGTCAGTACATCCTTTCGAGTATCAACTATCTTATTCATCTGATTCATACACTACCAAACTATTAGAATATTGTCCATCGGCTTGTTTTACGTGGTTTGCACTGGGATCAAAACGTGGTTACCTTCTCAATCGAGTATTGATTAATTAATTGCTTAATTTGCCTTTCTAGTAAATCGAAAAATAGTGCTTGTTACTAGTTTCTTGCATAATCTTAACAGAGGTGATATAGATTCCGCAGATTTGCTAAGCCGCCTAACCTCTAATTTTCCTGTTACACTAACGCGCCACTACTATCCTATTAACTTGCCACGATGTAGTCTACGATCTAAGTCTACACGAGCCCATTCGCGTTCTTTGTGCTAATTATAACACCCTGTATCATCTATTTGTTTCTTAACTTCTATCGTTATTGAATACTAAAATCATAACTTTAGTTTTCGTTTTCTTTTACCAGTCATTTTTTTTGTTCTATGTACCTTCCTCGCGAACCGTAATAGCCCGAAATTAAAAGTGGGCCCTGTGCGTAACAAGCACGTGCTTCGTGTCGTTGGGCCACTTGCTTGTATTGCTCTTAGTCCATCAACTTTCAACGATAATAAAGAATAATTGTTGGGGCGGGGTGGCTTGATCGCTGAAGTTGGATGAAGTCCCAAGAACGAAGGTACGAAAAACACGGGGGTACTTTGGGGTTTTTTTATGCGTCGTTCGTGTGTGTTTATTGTTACACTTGGAAAATAGGTAGAGGTAGACATCTGGAGGTAGACATCTGGATAAAACTGCCGCTCGACACTGCCTCCAGAAATTAAACGACCTTTTGGCGTGAACAATAATAACAAAAAAATCAAAGACAAACAAGTGGATTCGGGTCAAGGACCAAATCTGTTATGATTGTAAATGAAGTGGACAGTATTAATGTTTTTCTTAGTTTTCTTAGTTCCATTCACTATTTCTGTGATTTATGAATAGGCTAAATTGAGTATAATTTGAGCTACAACTAGAGCTTAAAAAATATCAGAATTTGACTTTTTCGATTTTTTCCAAATTTTTTTTTAATCGTATCGATTATATTGATATTTTCTAAGAAAACAAAGTGAAATCTAAAAACATCTTGTATTCAGTCGTATTTACTTCCATTGTAAGTTGTACATTATTATTATTTGAGTTATTATTGTGAAATTGTGAAAATTATAAATTTTCTTGGCACTCTTTACTCTCGGAAAACATTGATGATTCCGATATATATCGGTGTTAAGAAAGAAGCTAATTTCAATATTGACATCGACAGTTTTCAAGAACAAGCTACAACTCGGCAAGCTTTGACAGTGTTTAATTTTATTGTAATTAATTATTTTTACGTTATCAACAGACGCCTTACAGTCACTAAATTGTTATTGTCCGTACGTGACACGGACAGACGGTTATAGCTAGATCGACTCGACTAGTAATCCTGATCAAGAATATACTTACTTTATGGGGTTGGGGACTGTCTTCTACCTATTACAAAATTTACCGATTTATTATTTTAATATTATTTACCAAATTGGTACCAAAACCATTAAAATACGATACTCCATTGCAAAGTTATGCAATTAAAATGCATTTTTGGCTATTTTCAAGTTAAGACCCTTACTCGTAGAGTAAAAGGGTATACTAGATTTGTCGGAAAGCATGTAACATGCAGAAGGAAACGAACTGCCCTGCCTCGATTTCAATGATCAATCATCACACCTCGTCTTTAGAGATTTATCTCAAAAACTATTGAAAAGAATGATGCAAAAGGGTCGGGAAATAGGATGAAGCAATTTGTCAATTAAATTTTAAATTGAAAACCGGCCGGAAATTAGTGTTTACGCTATCGCTTTGGGGCTCTGGTGTTTACGTAAGCGGACTTCTGGGCCCTCTTTGGGGCTCTGATGTTTACAATATCGACTTGAATGTTTACAGTATCCGTTTGATGCGGAGTGTGTGAAAATGACTGGGTGGGAATAATGAGTAGAAAGAAATACCTGATCACGGTTGTATCTCGGAATCAGTCAGAGTTATTTGGAAATTGGCTTTTATCTCAAAGTTCTTTATAAATTGGGAAAGTTCCCCTAAATAATGTGTCATATAACTATCATGTTTGTATTCATAAGGGAAAGGATATAGGATGTATTTAAAATAATTTATATCTTGTAAGCGTGAAATGAAAATTGGCCGTGCCTTTCCGACATATTCGAGTTCATTCATATATATTTTTTCTGAGCTGATAAAAATAAAAAACGAGCACTTCATAAAAGGCAATCTTTAAAATAAAATACAAAAAGGTAATTGGCTTGACGATAAATGGAGAAGCAACCTGTTGAAAAAAAATGCATGATATTTTTAAATGCGTAAAATCAAAGAGCAAAAATTAAAAAATATTAATTCATTGTTTTCTACGTTTCACAAACGGTAGTCGTTAAAATAAATAAGGAAAACTAACTTCTATCGCCTTAAAGGCAAGGCAGATTTGTTATTGGCGCAGCCACCTAATTTGCGAGTGTGTAGTTGTGGGTGTGCTGTTTATTTACAAACAAAAAACATGGTTTGATTCCAATTTAAATGTTTGCTTTTATTTAAAAAAAACATTTTTCATTTTGAAAACATAAGAAAAAGAAATTCTTAAACCGGAAAAAGTCAATTTAATTTACAAACTTTTTCTTTTGGCTGCAAAGTGCATTCAAAATATTTAAATCAACCAAAAATAAATTTATAAGTAACTCACGCCAATTCCTCTGACCTGTCTCAGTAAATTCTAATATAATTCAAATGGTTTTATTAAAGAAGTTAACTTCGGCAAGCCGAAGTTTATATACCCTTGCAGTTATATATATTAAATTAAAAAAAACACAGAAACTATATCCACCAATTTTCCGAT